CCTTAAACCTCTAAAACCCTAAAGCCCTAGAGCCTTAAAATCCTATTGTAGAGCCTTATAAGACCATCTAATGCTTTACAACGCCCCAAAGCCCTAAAACCTTAAAGCCCTGAGACCCTAAAGCAGCCCTCATGCCCGAAATACGCCAAACCCCAAATCCTAAGCCCAAAACCCTGAGACCGAAAAGCCCTAAACACCCATACCCCAAATCCGAAAGCTTAAACCCCAAATCTCAAACCCCAAGCCCGAAGTCCCAAACCCCAAAGCTAAAGCCCCAAACCCCAAACCGTAAGCCCAAAGCCCCGCGCTTGAGACTCCAAATCCCAAGCTCAAACCTTTAGACCCCAAACTCAAAACCCAAAGCCCCAAGCCCCGCGCCAATCTTTGATTCTTTGATATTTTTCCAAAAAGAATTATATTAAATGAATTTTTCCAAATTTTAATATAGAAATAAAAAGAATTTCATCTTTAAATCTTGATTTTTCATATTTTGGAGAAGCATTTGATTTATACCAATTTTTTTTCGAAATATGTATAAAAAAAGAAAGAACTTAGACATTTTGATTTGGATTTTCCATAAGATCTAGATTTTTATGATTTTCTTTGGAATTTATGAAAAATTTGCTAAATGATGAATTTCTGGATTGCCGGATTTATAATTATAGATAAGAATTTTGATATACATGATTTTTTTCAGATTTAGAGCTTAAGACTTATTGAAAGCGAGAGAATCTGCATTCTAAAATTGATTAGGCATTTGCTTATGTATTTTTTTCGAATTCATATTAAATACGAAATCCATTTCCTGGATCTCTGATTTTTGGAAAAGTGTGTGCTTTCTATGATATTTCATTAAACTTATGATTAGAAATGCTGGAGAAATAACCTTGATTAGATTTCGAAATTTCGTATTCTAGGAAAGTTTTCATTCATATGAGATTTTCTTACAATTTTCGTCTGAATTCCAAAATCTTGATATATATATTCATTCATTTCAATTTCGAACATTGTTTCATCGATTTGAAAGAATCTTTCTTAAAATCATCCGAAAGTAATTATAGAAAAAATATTTTTTTCATTTGAAGTTCATATAGGATCCTCCTAGATTCTTGGAATTCCGGATTTCCAATTATATTTAGACTAAAAAATTAAATATTGAATTCCTGAATTTCCAACTCTAGTATTTCGTATATACGAATTCTGTTCAAATATTGATTAGAAATAATGCAGAAATTCTAAATTCTTAGATATATAATTTTCAGTTTTTTTTTCTCTTTATTTTGAATTTCTTTGACATTTCATAACTAGAAAATTTCTAAAATCTTTGATGGTTTATAATTTCAATTTTTGTTTCCATATAAAAATGATGAATTAGCAAAAAAAGAAAAATAATCTTTTAAGATTATAGAAGAATAGAAATCTATTTTGATGTTTTTACTAGGGCAATATAACATTTTCATTAAAGAGATTATATTTTTTGGGACGATGATTTATTTCCATATTGACAAAAATAGCATATTTCCGTAAGAAAATCAAAATTATCGTATCAAAATATTATCTTGTTCCAAGAAATTCATGAAATCAATAGTTTACAATCTTGAAATACTAAAATGAAAATTTAAAAAATCTTCATTTTCGCAGAAATAATCTATCACTTCGAACCTTTCATCAAGATATATGTATATATATTTTCATTATTCAATAAGAAATATTAAATTGATTTAATAAAATCAATCTTTTTCGCTCAAGAATGATTTTCATTACTTTTTTCAATTGTTACATTACTTTTACGGATAAATTTGATTATCAACATCATAAAAAATATCTGATCAACATCAATCAAAAAAATGTATTTTTCATTTGAAAAATAATTTGAGAAGAGAAATAAAATAGAATCTTTCATTTCTGAATCTTTCATTTCTTTAATTAATCTTGAAAGCCGACCTCTCGAGAAGAAACTAAAGCCAAGGAAGAGGAAAAAGCATGAAACTAGAATCGATCCGCTACCTACAGCGCCAGAAAATATTTTTTTGAGAATATCCATATTAGAAAATCCGATGAACAAATATCGTACAAGATCGCACGTGCAATCCAATGAGTAACCAATATTTGAGACCGCATTTGATATATAGATTCTGAAAGATTTTGGATCTCCGCCCCGGGTCTACACCTTCCACCGAGCAGACAGCCAAAGAGAGAAAAGTAATTCGAAATCTTAGGAGAATTTTGGTCGCCAAGCCCCCGCATCGAGCTCGGTCTTTCCGCCTTATTTTTTTCTCTTGGGCTATCTACGCGGCTCAGGAGGGCGCATAAATCCCCGTGGACAGACACGGCCGAGCTATAAATTCTGAAAGATTTTGGTTTTTCGTCCCGGGTCTGTGCGCTCCAGCGGACAGCCGCACTGATAACCAAAGAGAAATAAATCACGCGGATCATATAAAATCGCACGTGAAGCCCGATGAACAATCAATATACAAGACCGCACGTGACCAAAAACGGCCATCTTAATAGATCCAATAGATTCTGGAAGATTTTGGATCTCCGCCGCGGGTCTGCACCGAGTCGCCGCGCAAACAGCCAAAGAGAGAAAAATCACGCGGAAAACCGCTTCGGAGGCAAGGGCCGCGACCAAAAATCTGCGAGATTTTGGCCGCGCCGCCCGCACCAAAAATCTCGCAGATTTTAGAGCCTCTGGAAGGGCTCTAAAATCTCTGAGATTTTCAAGCCACTATGGAGCCCGCAGGAGGCGTTCTAGAGGTGAGCCGGAAAAGCTAGGCCCAGCGCGAGCGAAATGGCCGCAAGTGGTCGCGACTTTAAGCAATTTTCGCTTCACTCGGACTCTAAAACAACTTCTGTAGGTTTCTTGGTTTCGGGAGTGTTTAATTTTACCGACGCTCACTCTTCCGCCGCTCGAACGTCAGAGGGAGTGTTTAATAGGGCCTAATTGTGTGGGTGCTCGTGGGGTAAGCCGGGAGTGACCTCAAAACCACCTGCAATAGGTTTCACGATTTTTCATCGTTGTGGGGGGCGGCCGCCTGTACTTTTTAAAAGCTCGGATTAGTGTGCGTAAGATATCTGCCCAGCATTGTGTCCATGCTCTGGGCGGTCTGATCCCGTGCCTGCCGAAAAATCAAACCTGGATATGGAATGTGTGCCCTGTGTCGCACCCTATGCCCGTTTTTTTCAGGGCAACTGCGGCTGGCATCCTTTGCACGTGCCTGTAGCAAGTCAAACGATCTGTACACAATGCAGGCAACGCGAGTCGGAATCCAGTGCGCTGCGTACATGCACTGTCACAGCCGCAAGCCCACTGTGATATGAATGGCAAACATAAGCCTTAGACCGGGCAAGCTGCCAGCCGATACGTAGAAGCGCTGGGAGGCTACAGCTCATGCCTTTGTCTTGAAGGCGGCGGCAGATGCGCCAGCTGAATGTTGTGCTCGCCTTAGCATCAAAAGCCATATACTTGAGATTGGCGCACCGCCCTTGCATGGGTGTGAGGCCTGAAGACATCCGAAAACCTTGCTTCCATGTAAGGAGCAGGCTCATCTTTCCAATCCACTTCAACTGCAGAAAAAACACGGCTTGCTGGAAAAGACTGAACATGTGACAACAAGTAGCAATAAGGCTGCTAACAGGGGACAGTACATTGAATGGCCCAGCCTTTGTCAAGACATTTACTTTGGCAGGACCGCCAGCCCGTCGGGCCATCCGCTCTATGACAGCGCAAATCATGATGCGCTCAGGCTCCTGGAAATCATCCTGCACCAGGAGCACAAGACACCCTCAATGGAATATACCCTGAATCGTATAAGAGATCCTAATACGATTGATGTTGTGTTACTTCATCAAGAGGCATTGGGCAGTGCCGGGGCCATGTAGGCTTAAGAACCGTGAGGAGGCCATTGAGGAGCAGTGCGTGAATGACATGCTAGCCCGGTCAGCAGCTGCCACCGGCAACGAAAGCCGGAATGAGTGTGAAAAGTCCAGCACAAGTAGGTTCGATGTCTCCTTAGAGATGCTGTACTTAACCTTTCTCACCCCAGCACGAGGATCTGCCGTGAGATAGTTATGACTCCGCACAGGCTGTCTAGACCCAGCCTTCAGGTCTTGCGGCATTTGCTCCAGAACTCGGTCTGCGCAAGCCTCATCTGCATCTGCAGCTGCCAGCGGCAAATCACTGCAGGCTTTCGAAACAGCCTGGACAGGGACAAAGATGTCCTATATGTTCATGCAAACAAATTCAAGAGTTCCAAAAGCCTCATGAAGATAGGCAAAGTATCTCCGCACAGAGCGGACGCCATCTGTGTCCGTGACAGGACCATGGCCTTGTCAGGGTACTTTCTGGAAGCAGCGCCTTTTTACCAAATTGAGGGTTGGCAAAATTGTGAACTCTGTTTGGGGACCTATACATAAGGGGCCCTATTCTAATGGCAAACCAAAAAAAGCCACAATTTTGACAACCCATCAGATCCAAGACCCAGGCCAGGGACAAAGCGCCAGTCGCTGCCAGTGGCCTCCAACTGCCGTGGAGCGTGAGTGGCTCTTCACGAGCTGTTTTGATTGCTGGAGTTAGCTTACATTCTACTTCCCCTCGAACAAACCCATCCGAAGCGAACGGCAACCCTTTAAATATGATTAGACCCTTAATCCACTAGTAGTTCCAAATTTCTGCGAAGTACGCATGGACCCTGCAGCTACAATCCTAACTAAGAGTACAGGGACCAGCTTCAGAGGCGCCTCGAGAAGATCATCCAGGGCTTTCACCCAAGCTTGAGCGGGTCCGCTCCTGGGTCTTTTTCAAAGCTGGGGGCCCTTCCACAGGGTGAAGCTTGTAGGGCCTAGGGGCACACAAAATAGGGTGCCCTCGGGAGACCAGATAGAAGTGCTTTGTAAGATCCTAAAGCCCATATAGGTGTTTCCAAAATTGGGAGTGCATCCTGGGGAGTTTTGATAAGAAAGGATTACCGTGCATTGGGGTCAAGCTTGGTTGCCTTTCTATGAAGTAGGTCCCAGCAGCCACATGACGGGAGCTATGCCAATGAATAGCAGATCGCCAGTGAACGCCACTTTACTGTTCGGCAGGAGGATGATAGAATCCTGAGATGACGTTGGCTTCAAGTCTTGGAGTGATGAGTAAATGTTCTGCATGGAGTATATATAACGCGTTGCATACCATCTCTGGGAAAAATTGTCACCCTGTGTACATTCAGTTTGATTCAGCCCCGCATAGATTGAGCTTGATTGCTTTAAGTGGGCGCTGTTGGAACCTTCGGGGCCAGAGCTCTCAATTCAGGACAAGACGCGCTTTTGGAATGAATCGCGCCCACCTCCCAGAACCTCATTTCTTGATCTGAGAGCTTGCAACGCATGACATGGAATCTTTGTTGCCTGGACTTGAAAACTCATGCAGTGTGGTTTGTGGAAGGCACCATTGTTTGTCTGAGACCCAATCCTGGAAGCGCTAGATATGAAACTGCGAGCGGCATTTGCATGCGAGCAGCTGGGCTGGGAAGTGCTCACCTCTGACCGTGAGGTTGTCTCCTTGTTTTGGTGTGACAAAAGCGTCCAAATACTCAACCTAACACGAAGAGCTCTACAGACCAATCTCATCCTACACGTCGACTCCTGTGTTCAGAACGGTTTCAAATCTGGGTAATCGTCGTCCGTCAATGCCTCCAAGGTTGAAGCCTGCACGTGTTTTATGACAGTTTTGCAGAAGCTGCTCGGGGGCAGCTTGCGGTGTATAGGCCAGTGAAGGCGCTTGATGTACTCAAGCATACAAACTGTGGCTTGAAGTTCAGTATCTGTGTTAAGTGTTCATGTGTCAGGTGATCCAATGATTCAATGAAGCCTAGCAGAATCCTTGACATCCAGGCTGCAAACTTCGGGTCCTTGCCTGACAGATTGTCCTGAGACTTTGCGAAACCCAGCAGCGACAGCATGCGAGGCTGCCACCCGAGTGGCAGCAGCGGCAACAAGGAAGGTCCTGACTCTAAAGTCTTGATAGAGTAGCCAAGCTTTCTTAAAATGAGTTGTTGACCCTGAACCCTCAACTTCAGCCTGCGTCCTCCAAAAAGCTTCAGAGTTTGCCATATGAATCTACCCACTTCCACACAAAGCTTCAGCTTCCAGGCTGCGCCGGCCTCAGAGGTTCAGGATGCGGGCGTCACCCGAAACAAATCATCAAACATCACTGAACCCAACAGTCTATGCTCAAACCCCTGCCTGAGCATCAATGTCCTGTTGCGCTTTGCCGGTCCCCAGTCGTGGAATCTCGGGCGGCAGGGCCTGATGCGACAATCTAAGGATAATTGAACCACGTAGATTACATCATATTTCGATGCCCGTGCGCTACATTGGGGACTTCAGCGTCCCATCACAAAAGCTACTCACAAACATGACGAAACAGTTCACTAGAGATTGATTACTGCACTCATCCGTGACATTGTGCTTAAGGCTTTTCAAAAAAAATCAAATGCTGCATGGTTCTGGGTGTACATGCAAGGTAGGGCCAGAGTGCGGACTTGATGTCTCTTCCTGCCTGGTTGCCCAGTATGTGATCCACATCGGGATGCGTGAAGACGACAGCCTGAAGTTGACTTGAACCTGCTAGACAAGTCACAGTCCAGTGAGGGAGAGCCGGGTTTTGCAGCCTGGAGACATCAATGCGCATCTGTGCCGCGTCGCCTGCGAAGCTTAGCAGAATCAGCTCATGCCGACAGTGCAACTTACGATGAGAAGCCATCTGAGAAATACACACCTGCTGAGAGCAGTGGAAAACAAAAACAATTTCCACCTCGTTCTCACGCATTCTAAGGGTCTCGCAAGTTTGCGTTCCACAGGTGAATTCTACTTTTTTTAGACCCAAACATGTTCTTTGTGGAGGTCAGCTCTAAAGCATGATGAGTGCTGGAGATTGAGGGGAAATCGCCGCATGCATGGATTTTAAAGTGGGGTTGTCTACTAGTTTAAGACCTCTGCTAGACAACAAAGTCAGTCAAAGGTCCAGTCCGTGACAAACACTGGCTGGGCACATTTTCAGGGCAGCTCCATTTTGAGCAGAGGTCGGTCTTCTGTCGACTGTTTGCTCAACGCCTCTGGCCTGTTCACTGGTTTCTGCATGGGGGACTGCCCGTATACAGCTTTGTTACCTTCTCCTCTGCTGTTCATGCACTGCTACTTCCTGCCGGGGCTTCTTGAACTTAGTCTTGTTGGGTGAAATTTATGGCGCTTGATGCTTCCCTGACTAGCGAGGCAAGGTGAAGCTCCTTAAGTGCCTTAGAGGATAGCCAATGTCAAGAAGCGGCAGAGCGAGACTCAAAATTAACTGTCCGGCATTAACATCTGGCAGAGGCATTCATTTGAGAATCCCATCAGCCTGTGTTGGAGAGCTCCCGTAGCATTGTAGAAGTCAATACCGGGTCCATCAGCGTGTCCACCAAGAGGCCTGACGAATGCTGGAGCTTGTTGAATGTGGACGCTTGAAGGAGTTAATCTCATACTGTGCGTGCCTCCGCCAGAAGAAGCTATGAAGCCAGCATTGCTCCAACACCATGATCCATTGGGCTGAATGAACGCGTAGGGCACCTCAATTCATTGCGTTTTGCCATAACCGTTCTACAACAGTAAGGAATTCACCAGGGAACCACGTTGACGAATTCCTGCAACCATCCAGTCTCTGGTCCCTGTGAAGCCTTATCCCGGACCCCGGCTTGCCACTAGTTCTTGGGATGCGCCTTGGACAACTAGAAGACGAAAACCCCTCAAACGGAAGGACATCCAGAGCCAGGTAAGGTCTTGGATTGGCCCTCTGGGTGCCCAGGCGACGGATCCACTGGCGGTCTCCGGGCGGATGCGCTGCCAGCCGCAGGTGAAGGGCAGTCCTGGGAGCACCCGCAGCTCCGCGGACCTCCGCAAATGGGTGAGGGTTCATGCGTGGATGAGATACGGAATATTATCGGGATTTGTTGTGCAGGTCCCCTTAAGTACCAGTGCGAGGTTGTCTTGTCCGTCCCCAAAATCCGCTAGGTAGGAATGGATTCTTGACAACCCTTTCAAATAACCCCTCAACCACTTCTTCCAGCCCACGGAAGGAGTTGAAAGTGCACATGTCAAATGTGTTTGTCTACAATATTCCTGCTAAAATTTCTTCAATCTGCTGGCTGATGGCACACTGCTTGCACGCGCCGGCCTTAAGTTGTGGCAGGAATTCTGGAAATATTCTCGTCTTTCTGTGGCAGTCCAGAGTAGCAGCCTCAGCGGGAAGGAAATACATCAACCAGCTTAAGCACCACAAAATCCATCATGTTTTTGCTGGGAGGCATTCAGAGCCGGCCAACTTTATCTCAAACATTTGCAATAACTGCGCTATGGGGCCTGTGTGGCATGCAGCTCGGCAATACAAACAAGGAAGGGACTTTTGATTTTCTGTTAAGGTTTTGCATCGCTCTGGAAACGTTTGCGTTGCTGCTGTTGGAGTCTGCGCTCTGGCCAGGATGTACGAAGTAGGGGTTGTCCTTTCTAGCCCTTTCCTAATCCTCTTCATAATAGGGTGGTGTCCAGCAACTACGGTTCCTGGCTGACGGTGGGGGGTGCTGGACTAAGGATTACAAATGAGGGAGTTGTCGCGAGACGTTTTTAGGGCAACCCAAGTGCCTGCGGGCTTTGGCCTGAGAACCGTGAAAGTGTGATAAGGTTCTGTAGCGTGTTTGGGGCGACCTCCTTGCGATTCAGATTTAAGGGTAACGGTGCTCCGGGAACCTGAGGGATCTGGAGGTTTAGGGTTCGGGGCTCAGAGGGCTCTTGACAACTTTCAAGTTTATGACGTAAAGGGCAAGAGGGAACAGCGGAGGCAGAGAGGGTGCGTGAGCCTGGGTTGTGCTAGCTGACTAATCGTTGATGCACACACAAGCCTAGTTACAGCATGGACCCACAAGCACGGCAAGAATGGAGCTTTGACTTAGAAAGCATCAGCAAGCATACGCGCGGCTGCGATGATCTGCGCAAGATGTACTACTTTGTGGGCACACACCGGCCATTGCGTTCGAAATCTTGAGTCCATCCGGAGCCCTGCTGCCTGGCTGTAGTGGCTTATTTGCAAAGTTTGCCTGTGGCACATGGAACATTCGAATACCAATCCCAACATGCCAACATGGTCAGAAGCAGGGTAGATGGCGATCCGTTCGCTCTGCTGAACTTCGCTTCTAACATCTTGGCGATATCCGCAAATCTGGAATGCGCTTATAACGGCCTGCTGATTAGTTCAATCTGACGAACAAAGTTTGACAGATCCTCATGCAGAGGTCACTGGATGTTAGTTGTCTAGGCGCAAAGTGACGGCAGCTGCGGCCGTAGCCACCACAGAACAACGAGCGATCACGCCCAAGAGCTCTAGGAACATGGCAGGCTAGTGAGGGGGATAAACAAGGATTGTTGGGGATTGTTGAGGTGCCGATTGGGGATTCTGCAGGGGCAATCTTAAGAAACTCCGACTTGACGTCTGGATAGCGAAGGGCACTGGGAAATGATGGAGGGTCTGCTGCTGCGACTTTGAGCCACTGATCTCGTCGAAAACTCTTTTTGAAGCCTGTTTTCCCAAAGCTTAGGTTCTGGACGATGCTCCTGTCTGGCACAGAGCTGAAGTTTGAATGGTGACCACCTCATGCTTGAAACCTGAGCCAGCAAATGCCTTTTCTCAACGCCTCAAGTTGAAGCGCACGCATTGCAAATGACCACGGCCGCGCAAAGCATGCCTCGGCTGTGCCAAATGCCTGTGCAAGTTGGTCTTTCTCTAGGAGCTTCTGGGCTTTAGGCAAGCCGGCACCAGCTGCCGCAGACCGTCGCTGAGGGAGCGCAAGGTTGTGGGTGTGCGTGGTGTGCGCGGGCCTGTTCTGATCAACATGGGCAATGCGCCGGATGCTATAAACAATCACTCACGTCACGTATCTTTCCAAGGCACTTTCCGCGCTGCGTGTGCCAGCGCCAAGGCGTGCAGCAAGCCACTGTGGCGCCTCACTGTGTTTGGGTTGCAGCACCTGTTTATGCTGAGCCGAATCACCACCAGCAGCATGCCTGGAGGAGCCGTTCCAAACGGCTGGGTGCAGGACGCTCCTCCTGCAATCATACACTTGCAAAACCTTGCTGTTTTGTTGCGATGCGCTCCTCCGAGTCCAGGTCTAAGCACGGCAGACCATCAGCCCCGCGACAGAATGGGCAGTTCAGGCGGCCTTACACAGGTCTTTGCAGGCTCGATGTGGGACCAACTGGAAGGACGTTGATCAGAGCTTGCAGCCCGCTTCGTCAGTGACTCGTTGTCGACACCGCTCGCAAAAGACTTGGAAGCAGCAGTGAGTCATCACGGATGCGTTGCCTGACAGGCGGGGAGGCTGCATCCCACTTACGCAAAAGCTCTGGCACCAGCATGCGACAGAAGTTGCATTCCTTTCCTGCTGTGTATGTCTCTGCACAAATAGGGCAGTCCACTTCGTTTTTCTTCAACCTTAAACTGCTTCGCCATGCATGAAAGACAGCAGCAAGGAAACAAACGTATGGATGTCTCTCATTAGCCTCAGCGCGGTCGAGGCACTTTGCACCACGTGTGCTCCACGAGGCTGCCGCTTTGGGCTTTGCCTGCCGCCGAGCCCCCAAAGCTATTCAACCCCATTCAACCGATTCAGAAGGCTACGCTCAGGCCCACCTCCACTTTTTTGCCGCTCTCCACCGACGAATAGAAACTCTGGAGAGCGGCTTCCACGTCCTCAGAGACAGTCACGACTTCCACGAAATGCACATCCTAGATGCCTCCTACTGGCCAATCCGTTCCAGGGTTCCCAGTCACTGCGGCAAAGATGGATGCAGGCGTCACGGACCCGACAGCCAGCCACATCCTGCAGCAGGACGCCTTTTCCTAGTACTTAGCGGAACTACCGCAGTGTTGAAGGCTGAGGGAAGGGGTTATGCTGTGCCCGAAGTGTACAAAGGGAATTTTGTCGGGATTCAGTTCCTACAGTGCTAGGCACCACCTGGGCAGCTCATGTTAGACATGCCTGACCACGTCACACTCAGGCCTTCACGCAGAAGATCTTGGTGCTGCGGCTTCCGCGGCTGTAATCCTCCACTAGCTCCTGCAACAGGCACCCGGAGAAAATTGATAAGAAAATGGTAGATAGGGGTTTGTAAGGATCTAATGTGGAGGCCTGGTTTAACTGGAATATGATTTGTTGGGCAATCTTGCAGGGGATTTCAAAGGAATAATATTGGGAATGCCTCCTTTACTATGTCTTTCTGGTCTTTCAGGGCCTGAAGCCAAGGCAGGATCAAAGTGGAGAGCTCATCCATGGCAAGTTTCATGCCTCAGCTGCCAAGCCTGAAATGGTATCTTAAGCGAAAGAAACAGCAAAACTGTATGAAACTGAGGCGCTGGAATCTCCCCACCAAGACTGCGAGGCTTGCCCGGCGCTGGCAAGAGTGCGAAGGGCAGCCTCAAGAAAAGGGCGGGTGCACCCTGCAAGTATACATATAACTTATAACCGTATAGCTGGTATGAAAACGATTACTCTGCTTTCTGTCCCCTGAGCTTGTTTTGGCTTGGCGCCTGCAGTGCAAAGAAAGCCGATGGATCAGCAGAGCGGCGGGCGGCGCGGTTCACCACCTGGTAATGGTTTCCAGGTATGTGTATTGGAAATCTTTATTTTCTCTCTAAACCTGGAGCAATCCCAGCAAGTGATAAGCAAACCTGACAGCCATCAGCCATGGCCTCTTGGACCCACCGACATGAAAGCAGACCAGCATTGCGATCCTTGCAGGAGCTTGTCTTGTCTGAGCTCGCACCTCGTTGGAGCGTAGCCAATCCTACTAGCCATCATCGCACGTTGCATCTTTCTTTTTTTCGAATTCTCCCAAGCGTCCATGCGGGTAAGGAGGCTTTCGCGCAAAGCAGCCAGGTCCTTGACAAGAGGCGCCTGACAGCTCAGCATGTGCAGCCTGCTGTTTTGGGACTGCCACCAAGCCCGTCTAGGTGTCTTCAGCGAGTAAGGGAGTGCTTGACAAGGCAGCGGTTAGCCTGTGCCATCTTCGCGGGCTGCAGTGCATGCCAACGATACATACGCAATACACTCTGAATGTCGCATTTCATTGGAATCTTTCAGCTAGCCGCCTCGTCAAAGGATTGTTGTTGACGGTGGAAAAACTCCATCACCTGCATGGTTCGCAAACAAATCATCAAAGCTGGTACCATGATCCTGGCAGCGAGTTGCGGGCATCCATGTCACATCTTACAGAACGTAGGATGCATCGGCAAACCTTTTCGAATCAAGTAAGCTTATATAACATAAGAAGGAAATTAGGGGTATACTAATATCTCCACTTCGGCTACGGACAATATTGAATAGCTGCCATGGCCTGCCAAAAACGCATAAAGTGGACCACCCCATCTGATTTGTCACCTTTGCAGAATGGGGTGAAGAAGCGATGGTGGCTTTGTATTCGATGAAGACTGGTACCTTACCTGAGGTTTCCAAACGGCCAAACGTGGGGACTATGTATCTAGACTTTAGAACCCATTTAGGTTTCGTGAGCCCAGCTGTCCATTGCTGCCACAACGTGTCAATCTGATTTTCTTGATTGGCATGGCCCTCCCAGGGTGTGGCTGGTGGATGCAACCTGCTACTTTCCTTGCTGCTACTCCCAGCCCTGCCTGGGCCGAACAGACCTCGTTCCTTGGCTGGGACGCGCAATGTATCGAGCGCACGTGCAACACCTATGGCGTGATCCGTGGCAGACGCTTCTCCGTAAGCTTTCTTGCGCAGCGCACATGCAGTTTCCAGACAATTATAGCCAGGATACCAAATCGGGGGTCAGCCGGCGGAGTCCGCGAAGCTGCACAGAGGGCGTGATGGAAGCTACATCGCTCTGCTTTGCGGCCACAAATAGGGCAGGCCCCCTCATTGAGAAGGACTGATTCAATGCCAGACGTAGGCGTTCTCAAAGGGTCTATTTGCCGGCCCCTGGGATCTACCTGAGTCTTTGCAAACCAAACATCCGACCTCTGCAAGGCCCCCAGAAGGCAGCACAGCACCGCGCGGCCTGCAGGACACTCGCACCAGTTGTGCATTTTGATTTTTCCTTTCCCTCCAATATTAGACCCTTCCCAGCTCTGGCATTCAAATCATACTCCATGCCCTGAATATCAAAGACCTGCCCACCCCACCCCTCATATGCAACCACGTGATTTGTGAGGAACCTGCATCGCTGCCAATCCGCGAGAACGTTGTCAAAGATGTTCATGGCAGTCTTTCGGCCGTGAAAACTGAAAACACATAAGTCTGACCTCCAACCCCTCTCATGCAATGAGTGCGACTTAGTAAGAAAGCTGTCTGATCAAGTCAGTTATGAAAACTCCATTTCGGTGACAGGTCTGCTTCAACAGAACTCTTGAAAGGTCTCGCATAATATGGACAGCTTGGGGCCTGCTCTGTGCTGTGGATGCTGTGGAATGGGTTTTGGGCTTCTTCGCTGAGATCGCTTGGGCTAATGCCAGGCGGGTGCTTCATGCTCGGGGCCATGCCCTCAACAGCACACTTGTGGAAATCCGTATTGGCAGCAGACATGCCACACAAAGCCGGTGGAGTAGAGCCTCTCCACGTATCCCCACAAGTGGCAAAAGAGTCCTGTATATGGGATATGGAGGCCACAGTCTGAACTCCTAGTATCCCCCTTAATAACCTCTATGATGGTCCCCTAGATAATCCCCATTAATCCTCTACATAAACCCCTTTAAGGAGTTTAGACCGCAGCTCATGTAGGCCATAATGGAGGGTACGTGGAGGGCCAGAGCATCTCCTATCTGTATGCGGCATGCGGCAAGAGCTGTCCATTTTGGCCTGGCTGCTTGCTCTCTCACACAGTCGCTCCAACCTGCAGGTAAAGGCAATTGCTCCGAAAATGCGATGTGCACCCGATAGCGGATTTCAAAAGTGAGGGACCCTAGGGATCATATGGGATTACACAACCATTGTGGGGTCCCCATTCAGGATTGAAATCGTCAATTTTACGAACAAATAATTCTGGGAAATATAGCTTCATGCCTTGCAAACATATGGGGGATTCCAACAATTAGTAGTCTCTTTTTGGGAGTTGCCCGAGCTTGAAGGATCATAACATGTTGAGGTCTATATACCCAATTTATGGGAACCCCTAGATACGAGATCCAGGCCTCTTCTTTTGCTTCCTTGCCAGCTTCCTTGCTTTCCCCTGTGTCTGTCTCCTCGTGAGAAGGAGAGGTGATTCGAAGTCCAATCTTCTGAAACATTTTTCGGCCTCTTTGTCAAAGCTGAATGTCGAAAGGCGGTGCACGGCTCCTCTTTCATCTTGCTGAAAAGCTTGGCAAATCGTTTCTTCTCCTTCGAACGACTTTTTATTTCAGCGATGGTCATAGGAATGCACTATTATTACTTGTTACTGCTGCTAACAGTCAACAACGATGAACTATTACAATTGCTGTTTCTCTATTGTACATCCCACATACTATCACCCTTCCCTAGTCTCATGTACTATCACTTTTAGAACTGCAGCCAGCGCCGACCTTCGCATCATGCTGAGAGAAGGCCTGCTTTAACCTTCCAGGATGCAGGAGCTCTCTGTGGCATTTCCCTGTAGTAGTAGTAGTAGTAGTAGTAGTAGTAGGTAGTGGTAGAAGTAGAGTATTAGTATCGATATTAGTATCAGATAGTGTTACGAACATTCCCCTTCTATCTGCCACAGCAAGGTATTCCTTGAAGGATTCACGCCGTTCGTGACCGGAACCCTTGCTGCTGGGCCTCTTCAGCTCTTTCTCCACTGCAGGGTCCTGATGCCAGTGTGAATCGTCTTCGCTGGAGTAGCCACCGTTCTTATCAGGGGATACATCCCTAAGCCGGGTTTTGATTTATGAGCATCCCCCGTTCCTCCCCCCCAAACAAGTAGAGGATTCTAAATGGGCCGTGGTCACCCACTCAAATTTTGGCAAACTTGTTTGGGGAGGGTCCTAGAGGATTTCTAGTCGGATTTGAAGCGGGGTTTCCAGAACAGAGCATGGACCTTCCATTTCCAACTAAGCAGCAGGGAATTAATGTCAATCCAGGCCTGTGGCTCCAAAGCCCTGGCTTGCTCGAAGTCTTCCTTCGCCTTGGTCTCAAGGCATGGGCCCGCAGGGGGGTGAAGGGCGCCTTAATTCTGATGGAACAAAAACTTTTGAATGTCATGTTATACGTGTAGTTTGCAAGACTTATTCTCTGTGATTTAATACGTATATATGTATTACATGAAGGCGAGCTGGCAGTGTTTCACTTACCCCTGGGCCGAAAGATACGCCCTCAGGGCACCTCGTCCAGGTTTCGAAGCTCGAGATGTGCTTGTCCTAGCAGCAAGCGTTCCCTCCTACTACAGGTGCTGAAGGGGGAGTGGGTGAATGTAGATTGGTGACGAAGAGAATTGAAGATTATCTGCGGTAATTGCAGGGATGCACTTTTCAAGCACCAGTACGTTGGGGTACGTTGTGTGGCGTCTTGAGCACGCCCGCCTCTTCGGAAGTAGGCCTGGGGCCACATGCTGTTCACAGTCACTGCATGGGCTGATCAAACCGTACGTTCACTGTGCTAGTATTTTGAATTGTCTACCATTCTGTATACGCACATACATGTATGTATGTATGTATGTATGTATGTATGTATGTGGCATTACAAATGTTTACTTTCATGCCTGTACGTGATATATATACATATATATATATATATATATATAGATATAGATATAGATGTTCAAAATTGAAAGCTTGAAGTGGGCCATCCTGAGATTCGGACTTTAGAAAGCGGACATGTAGCAAGCGCCTTCGTGCACCTGCAAATGCATGGCGATCGGCGAACCCAGCCCCACGCACAGATTCTGCAGCCAAATCTCAGATCTACGAGGGCAAGTTACACCAGGAGTGAGAACTTCCACTTTTGTTTGGCCCTCTCAGGCTCGAACGAGTCAATGCATTTGCGATGTTCCCCAAGCTTCAGGTAACACCTGGGGAAGGCGTCCAAATGCAGCGGCGGTGCCTCGTAAGGGTCGAGGTACGGACGCCGCCATGTTGAGGTTGGTGGACTGCTTCAGCTTCTTCACCTCCTCAAAGCCAAGTTCCAAGTTAACAACTTCTGTGGGAGGCAGGCTTCTCCTCAACCTTCTCTTCCGGTACGTTAAACGAGGTGGCAGATCGGCCTCGAACGGGCTTCGAAATTTAGTACCCTTTACAGGCTTTAGTTTAGGGCCCACGGTAGAGATCACTGACTTGGAGAGACAGGGCATTGCTCTTTTGCTTTTACCGAGCGGCCCATCATCTCTGCATACTGAGATGCCTTTCAATCACAGGAGAAGTTCAAGCCTCATCTCAGCTGTCGCTATGTGCACCCAGCCTGACTGCGCTCCCCCGGCATTTGGAGCCCATTGATGTAGCAGAAGACCTGTTGCCACTAGTTCCCCCCTCCCTGACTGTTGGAAATGTTGTTGCGCGCTTCAGCTAGCCTTGTGATAGCTGCCCAACGCGCCACGAAAGTTCTGCTCCTTTGCAGCCAGTGGCTCTTCGTGGCTTCTGCCCTTACATCGACTTTATCATCCCTCATTTTTAATAGTCCTCATATTCCCTCCGCCAGAAATTCCAAACAGGATTAGCAAGTTGCGGCAGGTCCTTGAAGCGTGTGTTGCCTTCCTGTTTGTAGGCCTCGGCCTGAAACAAGAACAGAGCAGTTATTACAATTAAAAATAGTAGTGCAGAAATGCTATGTACCTCCTTCTTATCATTACTACATTCTTAATAACCACAATAAAATCGCAAATACCAGTAGCAATAACAATATTCTGAAGCATAAAAATAAAAATGAAGAAATAGTGACTGTATCCCTTTCTCTGCCTGTGCAATCTGCTCCGCCGGATCCGCCATCACCTGCTCCTGTTTCAGGCCGAAACTACATTTCTAGAAGGAACCCTGTAAGAGTGTGACAGAACTACACCTTCCAATATTTGGGGGCTCTTGTGGGGTTGCGTGACGCATGCGCTCTGGTGCAAAGCTTCTTTTTTCTGCGGCCCGCACGCACCAATCAATCAGGTTGAGTGCTCTGGCTTGGAACAAGCCCCTGACCTGTGCCAGCATTCCAAACAGAACAACCGGCATATAAAGCATACATAGTGAAGGATTGCGCCGCCCTGCTTTGCAGGGGAGTGAGACGCTTGGAACTTCAGCAGCCCCCAGGGCCCTTCCAGGCGGTTGGGAGCGCCGCTTTGTGAGACCCTGGAGTTACTAATGAGCCGAAGAAAAAAACCTTATGAAACTGTGACCGTAGGTGCACAATGGGCTTTCATAAGGGACATAGCATATTACTTAACTCCGGGGTCCCTCAAGGTACATTATCGAATTGGAATTGGTTCAACGTACAAGCAAACGCAACCGAGACAGGCCTCTCCATGCAGTGTCTCTTTACTGGTGGGATTCAGTGTAGCCAGCTGTAGACGGCTTGTCTTGGCGCTGGTAAACAATCTTAAAAAGCGATTGCATACAAAGCAGCTTAGAGCGATGGCAGCACGAGGAGTGCAGGAAACTGCGTTGGCTCAGAGGTGTGCTTTTCGCATGAACGAAGGCGTCATCCGATATTTAGAAACTAGCTCCGCTAGAGGCTTCAGGTTACATGACACTTACAACCAAACCTTCTCTCGTCAAGACAGTCCCCAGCACATTCCCATGAGCACGTTCCATTAAGCCTGCTCTTTCAGATCCCGGGCACCGTTTTGCATCCATGTGTGTGCTGGGGTTGCTGGCCGAAGTGCAGAGACTCACGACGGACGTGTGAATTGGTGCTCAAATACTTGCAAATGAGGACTCCGCTAGTCGTTGTTTCAACAAAATCTTGCGCAGGATCTTGCAACTACCCAGTGTGCCCTGTCGTCCGTTCCTGGCTAAACCACCGTTGATCTGCAGCTTTCCTCCTGGGCTCCTGCATGCCAGCATAGGGTCTGATAGCTTTGTTGGGATTGGGTCAGAATATCTGAAAGTAGATCCTGATTGTGCAGTGAGTCTGGAGCTCTCTGAATTCCTGGATTCAGCGTCTTTCAAGGCAATCGCAACTGCAACCATCACATCTTTCAGCAACCTCTCCTGCAAAGAAATCCTGAACATGCGAGGCGTGGCCCCAGACTCCTACTACCCTCAGGCAACCTCATCTCCCCGCATCCTTGGGCTCCGTGGGTGTTCGCGCTCTCCGCAAAGCGCATCACACTACGAAGCAGCTGGCTCATCATGAGACCTGGGGTTGAATGAGCTGCCGCAATCGTTCCCTTCCTTCTCTGTTGCCCCTCACTCCCTCCCTCTTGTCCAAGCAGCGGAGAGAGATCACGTCGGACTTGGTGATGGGCCCACGCAGTTTCATGAGACCGTCCACTAACCTGCAGGGAAGGTTGGGCTCGCGGCGTTTGCATGGCGCAGCACAGTAGGTAGCATGCATAGACTTTCAGAGTGCGAAGCAGGCAGCGCTTTAACGACTTAGAGCCCCAGGGAAAAAGAAGCGGCCCAAAGTGGCTCTACTGGGTTGGTTAGCAGGGAAAAAGAAGGAAGCACAGACCATCTGCCGACAAAGGGCTCGTCGAAGTGGAGCTGACCGCCAAGGTCGGCATCGAGCACGTCGAAAAGATCCTGAAGAGGAGAATTGCCAGCCTTCCTACTTGAGAAATGGCGAATCCCAAAAATGAGCCCATGTATCAGCATGAGGATGTCAAGGGTACGTCTTTTGCAAGGCGTCATGGATGAGGTACCTCCGTTTGCTGCTGCCGAGATTCATACTTTGTCGCGGTCCTTAGGAAGTGCAAGGCTTTAGGTTTAGGTACAAGGGTCTTGAATGGCTGCTTCATGCATTGCAAGCGATTTGGACTTTGGATTTTCAATGCCACGAAATGGATCTCCAGTAACCCTCCCTGCAGACGCAAGCAGCTCGATCTTGCAGAACGTTAGCAGCTCCGCCATCTCCTTGTGTTGCGCCAAGCAAATGAAACAAAGCCGTTTGGGCTACACCATTCAACTCAAACAGAATTGTGCATGCCAAACCACACGATACACATGTTAACCATCTGTGATCAGTTCTTGCTGCATGGAAGCTCGCTATTCGTATCATGCCAAGTTGCGGGATACTCCAGCCAGCGAGTGAAGGCCTCTCGCGTCACCGCAACCTGCCAGTAAGCAGCAGTTGGCTCGATGGAAGCTACTGGTTGGTTCGATACACGGCGGCATGGAGTAGCTCTTGTCGACTACAAGGATGTTGCAGAAACGAGCTCCAATGGAAAAACAACTCTGCGAGATACTGGTGGCTAAGACTTTTTCAGGAAGCCTCCTTGTTCATCTCCTTGTGAACATTTAGCCGCATGCTTTTCTTCGGAGTTGGCGGCTTCCTCCGGATCACGCAAGTCTTCATGCTGCACAGCCCCGCATGGGCAACGAACCTCATGAAGGTGGGACGTGAAACACACCTTGCAAACTAATGACCCCAGCAGTCCTCACGAAAAGGCTACCTTCGCAACAGGTCTGATTGAACAATTCGCTTAAACACCAAGCACACATGAATGCCTGTTTGATTGGCTATTGCAGAAGCTGAGGCTATGGGTGGATTTGCATATGGGGACTCAGACTAAGAGCGCGGCACAGCCAGCTGCAGAGCGTCTTTGACCTTGGGTATGGAGAGTGAATTGTTTGTGCTAGCTTTCGCATGTTTTCGGACCCTTCATTTATCAAACTCCTGTCCTTCATGATGCAAGCGCGGGCTGCTAAGCAAGAACAAGGTTCAGTGACCATTTGAACAGAGGGAACATGCCCAATGTACAGCTGTCGTAGGCTTATCCAGACCAGGTAGTCCTCAAAATTCTCTCTGCAACCTCGCTTAGAACTTCTTGAAATTTTCTGCATGACGTCCCTAAGCCTTTAGAACATGGTAAGTTGAATTTTCTTTTCCACGATCTGAATGTCCCTTCATCTCACCTCTTCTTTTGGCAGCAAAGTAGCTGGTCCCGCTTCATGTCCACTCGGCGGCCCGAGGCGAGGGTGGCGATGACGTTTCTGAGTTGTTTTGAAAGTAAGAGGATTTAGTAATTTTAGCCTTTACAATATCAATCCTATGGACACCTGTTTTGGGATTAGGGTCACCGCAACCCCTTTTTGAATCCTGCAACCCTGCCCTACAATTGTCAAGACAAGTCAAGACCAGTCTTCTCATCGGATTGTGGGTTTTTGGGACCTTCGGCTACAAGCATATGAATGGGGAGGTCCCATGTGATCTATAGCAGCCAAATGCACAGAAGCATCAACAAGGCCCCCTGCGACCACACTCAACAAATAAAGTTTGACCTGGCCGAGGGGCGAGATTTGCTCTTCCATCCTCATGCAGTGGCATGGCTGAACGAACATGATTTTGTCAACCTCACTGGCCAAGGCCCAAGCTCATCGTACTTGTATCCAAGCTCCTGTCCAAAGCTGCACACAAGAACATTTCCAGCAGTTCATGGCCTGCATAAGCGCGATTTTGGAAAGGGCCGCAAATAGGAAAGTCCTGGAGCTCCCTGGTAGCATGGTCACTCACCACAGAATCCAGAAACCTGAGCTGCTTAACTGGTTCTGCAACATTTAGCGTTCACTCACATGCACTGGGTCCTTCTCTTCCTCTTCTTGGTTCTTAAGGTTTACAGCACATGCCGTGATTCCAGCCGCAGAAGCATACCATAGCTGCTAGCACAGTTGCATGTGCTTCTTTTGTGCGGGCATCGCTCTAACTTGCAAACTGAATCCAATATCAAGGCTACGTGCAAGCATTGCAGCTGAGCCCCTTAAATGCTACACGAGCATGTGCAGTCCAACCTCCGCCAGGTGACACGGCCATGATCAGGTTGAAGATGCCGATGACAACAAACAGGAACAGAACCATGTACACCAGCATGAACATCTGAGATTCCAGTAGCAAAGGCTTTCAAGTTTCTTGTGTGTACTGGGCACGTGTTATGGAAAGCTCAAGCCAACACTTGTACTTTGGGCCAGGACACAGATCCGTGCTTGATCCGCAAGTGTTCCTGCAGCGGCTGGCCTCACCAAGCCCATTGGGCGAAATCAAAATCAGTGAATCGCGTAGAAACCAACTGGTTCTACACCAAAATTCACCGTTCTACACCAACCTCTACCCCCAAACAGACCTTAAGGGCCGCTGCTTGTCATCTCTTGGAAACAAAGGCAATGCTGCTGTTCCCCCAAAGCTAGCGAATTCACATTCAGTTCTCATCACATTATCCAAGATCTGCTCTCTTCAGGGTGAGAGAACCGCGAGAAATCCAAGAAAACGTCACAGAATCCCTTTCTTTGAGCCAAACAAGAACTCGTCAGCTAAGGCTGCTTGGGAGCTAGAAGGTTTCGGTAAAGCACTTTGCTTTGTGAGCATTGGCCCTTGCTGGGGCCTGCCAAATCTGTGCAGCCATCTGTGACACAGCCTAAGTTGCCGGCAGGTTGCCTTGCTGTTCTGGATCTACACAGCAAAGCTTTGCCGTTTGATGAAATGCCAGCGAGGGTGCGAAAAACGGTCATCATTGCTGCCGACACCGTGGCAAACTCCGGTTCCTGCAGTAGCATGCTGGATAGCAACCAGTGGACCCCATCAAGGCACACCAGCGGTTTACTCTCTGAGGGTGGATCATCCCAAATGAGGAGTCGAGCGGACACGCCAATGATATAGACCTCCGTCTCAAGTGCATCCCTCCCAGGGCCCACCAAGGCCTTTCAGCTCTGGTGCCACAATGCTCCAGGGTTTGCTACGCTTTAGCATGACTCCTTCCAGCTCTGCTCAGTGCAAACTCAATCGTCTGCAAGCCGGGGAGCCGTGAAGAAAAGCAGAACCTGAGATGCTGTTCAGGTTTGGGTTGACAGATTGAGCAAGTCTCGAAGAATTACAAGGCTCAACACAAGTACCACAGCTGGTCTTTGCGATGCAGATTCCTTAAACCTCCTCCCTGCAGGTGCACTGGACTTTCAAAGCATGCATGCCTGATTCTTGCTACTCTCACAAGCAATGGAGAATGCTTCAGCTTTGCACTGCCTTGCTTAATAAATTCACTTCGTGTGGCAATGGCCCAGAAAAGCACCCTGACTCCGCTGAGCACCCCGAGGATGATCACCTGAGTGGAGGGAGCAGATCCCTGTGCAGTCGAAATAATCACCAAGAATACTGTAGTTGACATGGACTCTGGGTTCGTAGGTTTTTGTCCTAAGGGCTCAAGTTACGAGATGCCCTTTTTCTGCCAGCTGGCATTGCATTCCCATCTCCTCTTGAATCTGCAAGGATCCCCAGTATACTAGTCACATTCCTTTCCAAGTTGCGCGGAGCTCTCGTACAGCACCAAATCTCATGACGCGGATGATCCTGGCATGCATGTCATGATGGATTGAGTTGGAAGGTTGGGCGCTCTTTCAAAATAGGCAGGTAAATCACTCAATGCTGCGAGTAACCATGATTTCAGGAATAAGAGGCTATGTGATGTTACCTGCTTATAACTTAGGTCTCCCCTACCTGGCTTCCACTCTGTTTCTCGAAGCTGCCTGCAAACGCGGGCCAAGCGGAGAATCTTGATCAGCATGATGGCGCTCTGAGCACAGGAATTCAGGATAAATATGGGCCGACAAGACCAAGGAAGGCTTGTTTCAGATTCAATTAATTTCAAGCTAAAGGTCAAGCCCAGGTGGAGGGGTCTCAAAGAATGAAGGATTCAGACCCGCTATCTGCTGAGCATACCTTGCTATTCCACTTGGCCCGCGGCAAGCGCAGGCGCATCGTCTTCAGCCGTGGCCCTCCAAGCAGGTTTCCGCTAGAATCCGCTAGAAGTGGATTTTCACGTAATGCGTCAACAGTCAACACCTAGCAAACGCCCAAGGAATAATACAGTTTTCTTGAATTTCAGGCAAGAACGTACTTAACACGCAAGCACACATCGCGAAAAATGCACCTTTGGAAGAAAGAATGGCTGCAGTCCCTGCGAAAGAAAAGACAGGACATGTACGATTTTCCACAATAATAGCAAATAACGCACCGTCGGAAACAAGTCGCGAACCTGCTTGTACAGCTATTGCTGGTGCTACTGCTAGTGCTGCTCTACAACCACCACCACCACCACCACCACTACTACTACTACGACTACTACTACTACCACTACTACTACTACTACTACTACTTTAGGCACACAGCCTGACGATGGTGCCATGTCACCCTGTGAGCCGCCTGTGAACTGAGCACGCTCATGTGCCCCCACAGAACAATGCTTCAGAGTGCTATGGGCATGTTCAACAATCAAGATCAGGTTCAAGGTTGTGGTGGAAGAAAGTCCTTAGGGTTCCAACCGTAGGAGTCACATGTTGAATCCAAACGTGCTTCAAATCTAGAGAGCATTCTGAACGATCCATGATATCAATGGCATCGCCCAACAAGAAAAACTGATTTGCATTCTCAACACGCACACACACTGTCAGCAGCAAAATGGGTGATAACAACAATAACAACAAAAAACAAATACTACCACAATAATAACAACAATAATGCTAATAACAATAACAATACTAGAACAGTGCTATGAGGTACCCGGCGGGGAAAAAGCCCCCCAAGAGGCAGACAGATTTGTGTGCTGCCGCAAATGTCCCCGCACATCACTGCTGGCACGGGAAACAGCAAAGTGCACATGGACGCTAGACGAATGACCTGTATTTGCAAATAGCATCACAACATGTAAAGCCTGGCTTTAACCAGGGCTTTTGCAATACAGCCTTTTTGCATCAAGGCAATCAACAAATTGGTGCGAGATAAACCCACATCGTACTTGCGAGCACACTTCCGAGCATGGAGAGTCATCAGCATGGGCCGACCAGTGCTACTTAAGGCAAACGCATCCATGACGGCAATCTGAAGACTATGCTGCAAGTACAGGCGCTGACTGTTCACATCTTCTGCAGGCTTCGCTTCTTCTTTGGCCGCGGCTATTCCTTGCCTACCTTCTTGCAGCTCCGCTGCTGGATCACGCTGGTGATTGCCAGGTCCGTGTAGGCGCAGGTTAAGCAGAGCATGTCAAAGTAGTTCCAGCCTCTGATTGCTCGAAGCTGCAATGAATTGAGGCACTCTTGTGTATCCTCTGGATGTTTTGCTGGCACTGCGAAGCCCCGAAGCCTAGATCTAAAACCTTGAATTCATTGCAAACTTCGCCTGCATCTGGACCAGTCAAGTAAACGCGGCAGCCCGTCCACCGCACCCTGACCAGCAAATCAGAGATTGGGCAATGCCATCGATTCAAACACGCCTCTTCAGCAATGCCTTTTCTGCCCCCGCCTGAGGAGGGCCTCCAGGGTGAATACGATTGTGAATAGCAACTCCAAGACCTCGCAGTTGTAGCTGTAGCAACAAGGCGGTTTCCAAAAACTAGGTTAGCGGGTCTCTAAAACAAGGACAACATTGGGGTGTAGAAGAGCACCTCCTTCGGTTTATGGAAGCTCCCGGAAGAAAATCTGACAAATGCGTTGTGCGTCGCAAGCCTGACTTCTAATATCTGGGAAAGAGCGCAGACCACTCAACGCAATTGTGGAAAGCTATCCGTGCACTTGCCTGCCAGCCGACCGCCTGAGATCAGACTGTGGAAGCAGGACACGAAAAAAGCTTAGATGGTCGTCTAGAGTCAGTTCGCTGTAGAGAGCATGCTCATCCAAAAAAGCTACGGGGCAGCGCAACTTCTCATGGAATTGTCCCTCAAGAGAGCTGAAGGCTCTGTGACACCGCTTCCTGGCCAAAGGTCATCCGGATTGTCATCGGCGCTGATGCCAATGACCACTGCATTGGCCAAGATGACGAAAGCGGGCCTTTCCAAGCTTGTAATCAGGAGGCCCAAAGCCGTTCAGCAGCCACCAAGACTTTGCCACTCTTCTGATCTTTTGGTGCGGCCAAGCTGCGCAACCTCGAGTAGGAATGTCTGGTAGTCCATCGGCAGGTTCTGACGCGCATGGTTACCACTGAAGCTCTTGCTTGCGGAAATGTGCACTCTCAGTGTTCCCTGACCTCCATCCACGATCTTTTGACCGTTTGCGGGCGCTTCGTTGCGGACTCCTGGGTTGCTCCAAGGTCGTTGTGCTGTCTACCAGACGCAGCCGCGAGTGACAGGCAGATGCTGTTCTTGGCCCCGAATCAACAACAAACAGCCCACTAAATTTCAAAATCGAACAAAGGTCTTATTCGCAGATGCGAGGGCGGCCGAAGTAGGTATCATCTAAAGTAAGCTTTCGGGCCCAAAGCCTTTTTTTATAGATCCCCAGGATTCTACAAGCTTCACCCCTTCTTCTCTACTTGGACAAGGCTCTGCTTCCTCCTCGATCACCTTGCGCACTCGCATCCTCAGCATCTGAAGGTTTAGGTAAATCCAGAGGCTCCTATTTAGTGTGGTTGAGTTTGCTAGGGCTTTGGGGTAGGGGATACTATTATGCCACTGAAAAGGGATCTACAGATGAGATCTAGTCTAGCGTGATAGGGTTTAGGGTCTCCGGCTTTGAGGCTTTGGGCAGGGAATGGACGTGTACGTCCAGCATTCTCGCTCTGCTTGAAGGGACTGCAGATCTACGTAGCATACTGCATCCCATTTAAGGCACAGTGTAACTCTGCCTCTACCCTTCCATTTAGGTTCTCTAACACATCACAACTCCAGGGTCCCACAAGGCGGTGTAATCCGCGCAAACACCGCCAGCTACCTCGTACCATCGCTTGCCCACCTCCCTTTTGCGGCGCAGCAAATGAGATCTAAACGCTCAGTGGGGCCGAGAACGCGTCTCTATTTTCTTTTCTGCCAAGCCACACTCGTTCTTTCACATCCTGCGCGCTCAGGTCGCTTTGGATTGCTTCTTAAAATTTGTTTCTCGGGACTGTGGGGTCTGCCATGG